ACGACCGCCGAGTCCCTGCAGCAAGGGTACCATAAGGGTACCATATGTTGGACGGGGAAAAAGGTAGGTCCTCACATGCAATATGAACAGCATTTTTTTTTTTTTTTTTTTTTTTTTTTTTTGGGGGGGGGGGGGGGGGGGGGGGGGGGGGAGAAGCAAGGAATGCATTATTATATCTTTACGATTCTTGAGTATATTATATAATTTCATAGTATTCATACAATTTAACAAAAAGATGAAAAAAATTCAAAAAATGCTATTTTCCAGGGTGCTTTTCTGGGCGCCCGGCACCCAACTTGTGCCCGGATAGACGCCCAGGTGCCAGGCCGGGCAGGGTTCCTGACAGCCCCAGCGTCAATTGAAAAAAAAAAAGAACTCAAAAAAATCGGGAAAAAGAATATGTTGTGTAAAATTGCAATACGAACGACTTTTGGCTGAGGGTCACATCAGAATTCCTCACAGAATAGGAGATAAAAAAAGAAAATAACAGAATCACACTAAGGCACCCCCCATTAAGCCCATTTAGCCCCTTTACAACCAATTTATACCCCCCTTCCCCCCCCTTGGCAGCCAACTCTCAAAAAAAGAAAAGAGAGAGACCGGATTTGGGGTCCTCTGCGAGGGCACAGAAAACCCAAAAGACATATATCATCAAACAGAGCTGCCCGGTAAACCGTAGGCAGAGAGGGAGAAGAGGACAACAAACGAGAGGCTGTGACAAACTTTTTTGTTGGAGTTTCACCGACTCATCAGGAGGCTGAACCCTTCTATTTTTTTTTATTTTTATTTTGTTTGCCCACCCGGGTACCCCAAGTGTCACGCCCGCGTGCCCAGTCGGCCAGGCCCGGCCGGGTGTGACCATCTTCCTAGCTATTTCTTGAAAAATTGCATCTCTTGAAATTAAACAGAGTCCAACCACCAGTACCTCCAGGCCTCCTTTTCCCGACGCTGACTTTGGCGGAGTGGAAAATCAAAGACGAACCAGCGAGGGTACTTTCTTTGGGGGGTTTCGGCTGGTGCGGCCAGACATTTGGGACCGGGATGGCCCCGGGAGGCTGCCGCCCACTTGTTGCGGCATGTTCACGACCTCATTGAAACATAATAGCTGTAAAAGTTACTAGTGGTATACGAGTTATATGAATCTTAAATAAGTTTAATAAGACTGTCCTATTCGGGTGACTGCCATTCTCCAACGCTTGGACCAGGAGAGAGGGTAAATCTTTTCAAATTGCAAAATAAGTTTAACAAGACAAATAAAACAAATGCATGAGCGCCGAGCTCCCAGTTGCATGGATTAAGAGATATATATTGGGGCCCGCTTCCTAGGGCAACATGCAGAATCTAACTGGTGCTTACAATGGTCTGGACACATGGGAAATGTTAGGTCAGTCCGAATGTATCCGGGTTGGTCTGCAGTCCAGATATATACATCAAATGTTGATTAGTGGAGTGAGGGCCATCGGCCGTTGATCTTTTCTATATCTGCAGCCAATATCTCATAATCCCCCGGAAGAGGGCCTGACCCCGCGAGACACCCCTACAAAGGACAAAGCAATACGAGATACGAAGGAGAACGTCTGAGGGCATATATTTGCACAACAACCTTTTTTAACAAAGCTTTGGACGAAATTGCAGTCAGATTCATCCAGTCTGGCCATAATTGCAATCAGATGCATTTCCGGATGTGCTACTACCCTCTTCCCCCGAATAGAACACCCGGTCTTTACGTCTGCATCTAGACAGAATGTTGCCCCAAACACGGCTACAATGACCGGGCGCTCTATTCGGGTGAAGATGGTACTAGTGTGAGTCTGCCCTGCAGTTGATCTCACATTAGCAATATCTTAAACATATCTGATCGCGGTTTACAGCCGGGTCTGGATGCATGCATCTGCTGTCAATTGCGTCCAGAAATAAGTAGAACAGTCCTAGTGTGAGTATGCCCTGAGGCAGACACAACAAAATATCGACAAGAGAGCAAGCAGATACCTGCCTCTGCACCTTGCTCAGCATATGGCCACAGAATATAAATGGACATAAATGTAAGCCCAGCCGCAAAGAATACTCCAAGGTACTGGGGCAATCTAGGTGCCAGCTCAGCCTCCGCTCTTTCCAGCTCAGTTTCCATAGTAGACACCACAGGCTTCTTCAGCTCATCCTCCTCTGTGCTCATCGGTTTCTCCCGATCTCCAGCCTTTTCCGTCACACCTTGGCGGCGCTGAGTTAACCCCTCCGTCGCCATAGCTTCCACCTCCTACCTAGACAATGACCACAAAAAAAAAGTGTAGAAACTGAAAACAAATGAAAAACAAGCAGATCCATTGTCAGAGACACAAAGTCGACAAAGTTCGGACTCGGAAAAAAAAAAAAAAAAAAAAAAAAACAGGAAGCGACCATTTGCGCCTTCCAGCTTGCGCCTGGTGTTAGAAGCTTGGGTGCTGCTCCCCGCACAGAGAAGATGTGGCAACTTAGGAGAGATTTCCTGCCTCGGGCACCAAAAACCCTGTCGTGGATTGCTAAGCTGCGGTGTAGGTAGGTAGGTAGAGGGAGATATATTGAAAAAAAAGAAAAGAAAAAAACAGGAGGATGGATGGTGGGTGCTTTTTAAGCCGCCAGTAGTTCAGAAAAGTCCAGCCCAAGCACTCTCTACTGAGACTCTAGCCATTGATTACAGTGCAGACGCTTCACATTTCGAACGCGAGTTTATAAATGTGCGGAAGGCCCATTCTTCCCAGCACGTCGCACCACGTGCACGGGCTGCGCTTCGGGGAAATGCTGGTGGTTTAAACCACAAGTACACGGCCCCATCCTTGCAGTCCGAAACTTGTCGCCACAAGAAAACGAGACCGGAACATCAAACGCTGGGCCCACCGTTGATAAATTGGATCGGCGGTCGCGTTTTCGTTTCGCACTTCCAGAATTTGAGGTGTCAGGCCCGCGGGCCAGGTGCCCATATACTGGTGCTTTAAGCCAACCGTCTTTTTGAAAAGGCCCCAGGGTCAAGTGCACATTGCTCACAAGGCTCAGCGTGAACCGTCACTGTTATTATCACTGCATCTAGACTGAAAGTTGCCTCAAAAAACAGCTGCAAAGCCTACAATGACTGTCCGATCTATTCGGGGGAAGAGGGTAGTTTAGCCAGAATTCGAGGGCGTATTCACACTAGGGAGTTTCCTCAATGTACCTGATTGGAATCATATCTTGACCTGGACGTACCTGACCACAATTACGCCCCGGGCTGAGTTGAAAAAGGTCCTACCTCCTCTTCCCCCAAATACACTGTACGGTCCTTATCACCATATGTAGGCTGAAAATTGGCCCAAATACAGCTATAACGACCTTACGTTCTATTAGCAGGAAGACAGTCATGTGAGTACGCACCCAGTCTGGGCACAACTTGTATGTAAGAGAGGAAATTGTTAAGCCCGCATGATGCAAACGGGTTCTGGAAAGGAGGGCCGACACGCAAAAGCGCAGAAGAGGCTCCGAAAGCCGCCAAACATGTCAGGAACCAAGCATTGGTGCTGACTCGCTGAGTGAGTTGGGATGGTCCCAAGGTCAGGGCCACCTCACCTTTTTTTCTTTCTTTTTCTTTTGTAAGGGTAATAGCCTTGACTCTTGAGATATCATCATCAAAAGTGACCGGCCCCAGGTAATTCAGACTTATTTTACGTATCAAGATTTGAGCTTAGGGCTGTTTATCAACAAATCAATGGGTGTACCCCTCCGCCGCAGGGGTTGGGTTGGGCCCATTATTTTCCAAATTGGTTAACACGGAGACTCGCACAGTGCTTATCGTGCTTAACGTGGAATCCGATCTGCTATTGATGTAGGATTCTGGACGTCGTGTAGGTTCTGTGGCTGAATTTTTTTAAGCCACGAAACAAGTGTGCGGTAGTCTTAAACCACCACTACCTTTCCAAGCTGTAGTCCCATTAGGGAAAATGACCTCAACCGCAAAGTTCGGGGGTCGGGGAAAGCCGCGAAGGAAGTGTGCTCACAGTAGCGCCTCCAGGAATGCATCTGCCCAGAATCATCGATAGTTTCAGTTTTTGTTTTTTGCATGGCTACCATCCGGACATCCGGGCAGGCATCCAGACGGTCTGTCGTCCGGTGTCCGGACGCCGGTCCGTGGGATGCCCGTCCGGCCCCCTGAAAAATGTTTTCATGATTTTTGGTGCCGTTATCGGCCTTACAGGGCGGACGGACCGGCCCCTTTCTACTTGCATCCTGGTCAGACGTTGGAGGCCGAGCACAGTTCCCCAGTGACAAAAGGAAGAAAGGGCGGATCTAGGCACTTCAGAGGGCTTTCCCGCCCCCCCGCCGCCGCCACATACACACACAGAGGGACAGGGAGAGAGAGCCCTCGTTACCGTTGTGGGCTGTTGCGCACATCAGAGAGAGAGAGAGAGAGAGAGAGAGAGAGAGAGAGAGAGAGAGAGAGAGAGAGAGAGAGAGAGAGAGAGAGAGAGAGTTTGAACTCGGACTTCGAACTGTAAATTCTGAACTGCTAAAGTCTTTTTTTTGTTTCTTCACTTTTTCCTCACTTGCAGCAGTCTGTGCTTTGCAGTGAGTGTCCCAATACAGTGCATGTCAAGGAATGATCATTCATGTTTGTCATATATGCCAACAGACAGCTATGTCTTCCTGGAACACTTTGAATCCCCTTGAATCACGGTTATACGACGAAACTGCATGCAACATGCATAAGAGACCTGCTAGTTTTTTTTTTCCCTTTTCAAGCCGGACCGATCCGGACATGATCATCCAGATGGTCTGCTGTCCGGTGTCCAGGTCCGCGGTAGCCATGGTTTTTTGTGTTTTTCATTTTTTTCCTTCTAAGTTAGTTTTAGTGCCCTGCCAACGAGGCAGGGCTCTTTTCACGGACAGCTGACACTTGCAACCAACGGGGCACTCTCACATGTACTCAAGATTTTGTATCCAGCTGCTTTTACGTCCAAAGAGTTGTTGCTGTTTTTGCTTCTTTTTTTTTCTGTACACAGCCATGTTTGTTGAGGGCTGTAACGCCCGTTGGGAGGGCAAATTCTCACTTGTGCCCAATGTTCTGTATCCAGCTGCTTTCGCGTCCAAAGAGTTGTCGTTTGTTTTCCTTTTCCTTTTTTTTTTTTTTTCCCCTATTGCCGTGTTTTGCTGAGGGCAGTAATGGCCTTTGGCAGACTCTCACGTGTACCCAATGTTCTGTCTGTATACACTTTCATTTTACTTTATTTTTACAAGAAAACTCAGCTCATTTGATTTCGCACACCAAAACAGAGGCCGGGAATCCTCCATAAACAACCCGGAAACAAGATCAAGCAAACCAAGATGTGGGTGTCAGGGAGAAAAAGCCACAGACAGAAATGGCCAACACCAGACCGCTGTCCTGCAACCCCCTGACCCCTTCCAAAAAAAAAGGACACCACCTCAGGCCTGGAAACAGCCTCACAATCCAATCTGTATACACTTCCACGTCCCTAATGTCTTTGCTTTCTTCTTTTTTTTTGTTTTTTTTTTTCTCTTTTCCCCCGACGGGTACCAGAAAAGAGAATACAATGGGACCCAGGCTCGGCAAAACTCGGTGCGCAGTGAAATTCAGGGTCAGCAAAAACAGGCTCATAGGTAGTGGTGGTTTTAAACTAGAACTTGCACAATATTGTGAAGTAGCTGTTTTTCCTCAATTTGGCTCAGGTCTTGATGCTGCCACTCAAGATCTACTAAACCATGGTACAAAACTAACAGAAGCGTTGAAACAACCCTGAACCTAGGGGGGCTGTTTATCAACAAATCAATGGGTGTACTATTCAGTTGCATGTGCTTGGTGGGGACCACCATTTTCCAAATTGTTTAACACACAGATTGCTGTGTGGGTTTTGTTCTTTATATTTTTAATTTATTTTAATTTAATTTAAAGCCCTTGTGCAGGGCCACTATCCCGGTGGTGGTAAGAGAACCACCGAGATTGGGGCTTTCTTTGTATGTCTTGTCCTTTTTTTCACACCTTCTTATCTACATATCTGAAGAAGTGTCCTCCTTTTTCCTGCATGCAGGCCTTATCCACCACTTGCCAAGAGCATGGTCCCATTAGCAGTCGGATGGGAGTGTGGCCTATCCAGTGTGACACTGAGTGGCAGCGGCCTGACAGGTTCATTACGAATTTCTGAGGTGAGAAAACAGGAGAAAGGCAAAAAAAAAAAAAGAAACAGAGACCTCCGACCTGAAATCACGGCAGAGTGCTTCCCAGCCATTAGATCACAAATGATCTGATGGTGGTGGTTGCAACAACAGTGAACAAAGTAACTGCCACATTTTCTGGAATAAACTCAACTTCTGTCATTAGTGATCCTGACGCCCTCCATATACTACGTGATTGAAGGAGGGCTCCACCCAATGAGATATTGCACAACAGCAAGCAAAATACTGAAAATCTTCTATCCAGTGGGCCTATGGCCGACCCCACTCTCTTTTGGGGTTGGCCACACCCCCAACGGATTGAAAAGATTTTGGCGGGAAGCTTCCTTTGCACCGGCAAGCCCAGTGTTAAACCACCACTACTTGGCCCAGCTATCGGCCACAGCACTTTCCCATTAACGCGCCGCGCCTTTAGGGCTTCAGGGTACCGGACCTCAATGGCTGGAAGCGCCAGCCAAAACAATTTCGAAACGGTACCCCGGCGCTTCGGCGAAAATCGGCACACAGGGGCATTCCAGGCTCGGCATCGATAGCTGGGCGAAGTACTGGTGGTTTAAGGAGAGGAGGAGGGGAACCAATGTCTCCTCACTTTTTCGGGTAATTCATGTAAAACACTGACCGTGGGATCACGAGTACTGCATGGCAGGATTTGGGTCAACTCAACTGCCACACAAACTCTTTTCTATCCTATCCCGTTGCTAGTGGAACCATGCTCCAAGTGTGAAAAGGCCAAGAATATGGCAAGTGCACCTTTTTACATTCTACCGAAAGATACACCGCGATTTGCACATTTGGTAAGCAATGAAGTCAGGTCCTGTCTCTTTTTTCTTTTTTCACTTTTGCGCAGCCGCGCCAGACGATTTGTCTGTCTGCAGTGTGGTCAGGGCATTACTCATACCAGGATTTCTTTGACTGAATCTGGAACAAATTGCGAAATGGTTGGGAAACATACTGGTGGTTTAAGCCACCAGTACTTGGCCCGTACATCGGTCGTGGGCCCTTGTCGTATGCGCGCCGCAATTTCCGGGGCCTTCGCGGCTGATGGTGATTTTCATTAACGGCCCGTGCCGGTTCGTTTCTCGGCGTGCAGGGCATCCCTGGGATCGGAGAAAAGTGCCTCGGAAGTACTGGGGGTTTAAACAATCACCAGTACCCTACAAGCGGTGTCATTTCAACTTCGGCAGGCAGCCCTCTGGGTTCAGCACAAGACTTCACAGTCGGACCTGAGATCCCGCATGCTGGGCCTTTCCTGACCTAGTAGATTCCCAACGGGCCTCTGCGCATTCCAGGGAGTGCTCTGGTGGGTACTACGGGTGGCTCTGCATAAGACTTCACAGTCGGACCTGAGATCCCGCGTGCTGGCCATTTCCTGACCTAGTACACTCCCACAGGACCTCTGCGTGTTCCAGCGAGTGCTCTGGTGGGTACTACAGGTGTTTTAAGCCAGCAGTTGGCGGCTGAGCCTTTGTAGAAACGCCCGCCGGTGCACATAGGGCCTTGGAAAGGGTTGGATTTACCATACCAAAAGGGGCTGGTGGTGCCAGGCAGATCGCCCGCCACAACGGCTTGGATCTCTTAGGGGCAGGCAAAAATTAGCATTGGGAAAAAGAGGCTTGGGAGTTTAAAATGGATGGACCACTACAGTAGGTCGAATGGACTCACGTCCCTGTGTACACTGGCAGAATTCACTGGAGGCGCATGGGACGGTGGTGGTTTAAACCACCAGTACTTGGCCCAGCTATCGGCTGCGGAAAAAAAATAGAGTAGAAATGTTTCTCGGCGGATGAATTCGGGCGCTCCGGTAGTGGCCCATACGTTTCCTAAAATCGTGGCTTCTATATGGGCACGACTTTAGGAAGTACTGGTGGTTTAAACCACCAGTACATGGCCCCAATGCGTAATCTTTTTGTTGCCCCTAATTCTAAACAGGTCCTTAGGGTCCTGGCTCCTCCGATCTGGGATCATTTCTTTCCTATCAGCGAGTAGAATCCAAACCGTGGCTTCTATATGGGCACGACTTTAGGAAGTACTGGTGGTTTAAACCACCAGTACATGGCCCCAATGCGTAATCTTTTTGTTGCCCCTGATTCTAAACAGGTCCTTAGGGTCCTGGCTCCTCCGATTTGGGATCATTTCTTTTCTATCCGTGAGTAGAATCCGGAATCCAAAGTTCTTAGTATGAGACACTACGTTTCCTTCCGTCTAAGGCCAAAGGAACACTATGTTTCCGAGATCTATAGAGACACTACGTTTCCTTCCGTCATCAATTGCTCCCATGAAGGAAGTCGACTGCCCAATTGCCTTTTCCTTCACCACTTCTTCTCAGTCTCAGTGTCACCAGAACTACCGTGTTGACTTGGTTCACCAAGAGCTATAGAAAGATCTGGCTTTGGTTACCTAAAGAGTAGACGGTTGGTTGAACGGCTATCGAAAGATCCTGCTTTCGTCTCGTGAAGGCCAGACTATTGGTCGAAGAGAAGATCCGAGTACTTCCTCCGTCTATCTACGCCTTTCGGTGATGTTACAGACTATTGGTCGAAGAGAAGATCCGAGTACTTCCTCCGTCTATCTACGCCTTTCGGTGAC